ACCTGAGGCAATTTTTTCCTGAAATTTCTGTTCGCGACCCAATTTGGTCGTGAACTGAGGCGTTCGTGAGCCGAGGTACCACTGTAGTTGGAACTGTATAGGAAGCTAAAAAACAAATGGGGTATTACTGAGATTACCTATGTGGGTAGGATTAACGTGGATTTTAAGATAAGAGGCAAGTTACATGGTGTCGTTTTTTCTTAACTGTCTTTTGTCAGCCTTGAGCAGCTGGCTAATTAAGTTAGATGATTTCAAGGGTCTGCCAAGCAACAGAACTGATGTTAAAAATTCCATTTTTAAATCAGATGATTCAGCTGCTAAAAGAGAAACTTTCTTCATTGTCTGAAAACCACAAAAGTGCCCTAGCTGCTGACATGGATGAAATAATGTACACAACAGCAGGAGATGTTGGAATTTACTATGATGATAATGGTATGTTTCCCTGTCAAAATATTTTACATTGAATCCTTTGAATGTTGTTGCAGATATGGACTACTCACCACTTTCTCCCACTGTGTAAAGGTCCCTTTCTTTCCAACTCAATTCCAGTGCTGAAGGCCTTTATTTCACTTGGAAATCTGTGTATGTTTGCCACTTCTGTATATCCTTGCAATACTCTCTAGCATTTTGTCAACTGAAAGCAAAGTCTAGATGGCTTTTCTAAAGCAAGGCTGCCAGTGGCACACCAAGAGATTTTAATTCAGCATCTAGTTAGTAGCCCAACCGGTCTACCAGGCTTGCTTGGGAGGGAAAGCTGAGTGACAGATCCTGTTCATTCTGTACAAAGACTACCAGATTCCATGTTGGGTATCTTCAGCTAAATGGAGCTGGGACACTGGAGTGGGGAAATGCCAGTGCCTGAGACCTTTGATCAGCAGTAGCCCTCAAGCAGTGGGCAGTGTTGGGCTAGATGCAGTGTAAGGAAACCCTTCATTTCCTTGAAGGAGCACCAGCAGAAATTGGCCTGGTTATTCTAGCATTGCTTTCAAGTCTGACTAATATCCTGACTTGGTAGACTGTATTAATTTCAGCATTGCTCCTGCAAGGACATGAGCCATGGAATTCTCCACTTAATGCCCCAAAAGAGGGATCCAGTTCTCTTTGGAAATCTTACTGGGAAAACACTCAAGGCTACTGCCGTGGGGACTTGATGTTGGGGAGTAAGAGGAGAAGAGGAACAATTTGAGATTTAGTAACCTTGTTGTGAAAATAGCAGGCAGTTAACAGGTTCCCTTGAGTCTGAGAGGGGCTTCTTCATGAGTAGTAGCCTGCTTGTGAGTAAAAGCTTATTACAGGCAAGGCAAGAGATCCTGGAAATGGACATAGACTATGTAGGTAGCCACATGTGAAAAACAGGAAGGAGTTCTGTGACTCCGCATGTCAGAGAGACAACCAGAAATTGTGGGAGGACTAAGTGAGAGTAAAACCAGTCCTTTTAAAGTGGCTAGTAGCTTACCCCTTCCTCACAACTGACTTTCTTTTCTTCAAATGGGTATATGCTTTATGCTTACATTATGTATTTAATGTACAGTGCATTGTGTATTTAATGAGACATCTGTCTGCCTTGTTCTTTTTAAACCAATCTGGACACCTCAAATTATGGAATGCCATTCCTGTTTCTGATTTCTCTCTCCTGCAAACAGGAAGGAAGTTTGTTAGCATTCTGATGCGTTTCTGGTATCTGACTAGTGTTGACCTTCCTGATGAGGCTCCAGATGGAACCAAAATATTCCAATTTGTGTTTGGAGATGGAATGGCAGAGGAAAGAAAGTGTCTCTTAACAGCTAATTATGAGTAAGCCTATTGCTTTTTCTTTTGGGAATAAAGAAACTTCAGTCAAACCAGTGAATTTTAACAACCCCCCTTCATGAAGAATGTACCACAATGGTCCTATACCTTGAGAGGAAATGTCAGTGTCCCTCCAGGTGATGTAGCACTCAAGGTCAGATAATTCCTTACAGAAGCAGACCTTAAATAATGTGGGAGAGAAGGAGACAATGGCCCTCAAAATACAAAGAGACTGTGCCAACTTCCAAATCTAAAAAATAGATAATAAAAATTGATAGGCCTCTCTCTGTGTGTCTTTGTTTTTCCCCCAACTGTATCTTGGATATAGTTTGTTTTGTGCATTTTTTCTGGATCTTCATAAAGAATTCCAGCAATGACTTCCTTTTCAAAAAAAGTAAGGTTTTTAAAAATGCATTTGGGGAAAGCAAAACCTTATTTTTGTCAAAAGAATCAAGGGGGGCCAAACAGTGTGAACTCCTAGATGGAAATGATTCAAGCTGGCTAATGGGAGCCCTGGCAGAGTATTACATTGGAGGAGGACTTAAGAATTTAACTGCCTCTGAAGGAATATTGAAATTCCATGAACATTTTTCTTCTAATCAATTCCTCCTTTGCCTCTCATGTTGCCTTCCTTGCAGCATTTGATACAGCCTTCTTTTTTTAAACATGTGTGGTAGACAGAATCAACAATCTGGGCTGCCAGCAAATACAACACAATGGAAATATTCTGCCTTCAGAAAATGGTCTGATTTCATTCTGTGCTGTTCACTTGAGGCTGTCCCTTTTCCTGCAGCCCTTCCAAACATCAGGAAACTTGGGTAATTTTACAATGTGAGTATAGGAACTGCAGTTTCTTGGGGATGCTGTCTGCAGAATCCTCGCTTCAATAATGACTGGCTTGTATAAGACTTGGATTTTTCCAGGACTCCCATGAGCTCATCTGTTGATGAAAGTATTAAAATAAAGCTAACTGCCTTCTTAAGGCTGTCCAGGAAGTCTTGTGAAGTATTTCTCTTGCTGTTGACTGCATTAGAAACCGTGGTCCCCTACCTAAGCAACAGAAGCAGTCAAATCTGAAACTATATCCAGTCCCAAACTACAGTATTAGATCTATATTATGTTTGCAATAGCATTGAGGATTTTATAAATGATTTTGCAGCTGTATTTATGCTACTGTTGCTTTATTTTTTTTCTTCCCCAAGGTTCCAAAGAGAATTTACACAAGGTGTGAAACCAGACTGGACAATTACACGGATTGAACATCCAAAGCTATTCGAATTAGCTGACTGAACAGAGACTTTCACAGACAATTAATCAATATTCTGGTGCATCATCAAGTTTCATGTGCCACAGTCTGTTGTGGACTAATTTTGTACTTCTTAATTCCCCAAATACAGTCGTGCTTGGAAGCATAAAAATAAAATATTTCCCTCAAGATTTGGAAACTATACAAATTCATTTTTGACCTGCATTGAAGGCATTTAATTAACATTGTAGAGAAACACTATGTTGGTATGCTAAGAAATCTTGGTTCAAGTTTCAACGAAAGTGATGCATTGCCTCACAGTGCATAACTGAACATATTTTTCCCTTCAGTAATGTGTTCAGAAGGTGAAATGGAAGAATTTAGGAAAGCAAGCAAAAGGAGTGAAATGATTGTTCCAAAATTCATATCTTATGTAATAACAAAGGCAGAGGAGTTGCGTAAGGGATCTGGTCCAAAGTCTTGAATTTAAGGACTAGAAGCATTAGAACTAGTTTGCAGTGTGCTTCTTGATTCATAGCTCACTCTCTCCGTTACTCTGTGAAAGAAAATGCAGCATATTAAAAAGATTCATACCAAGCGTTAAGCTTCGTGCTGAGTGCTCTTCACTTTTTTGTAAGCATCTGGTAAGCAAAAGCAAAAATGATAATCAGGAACTGCTGCAAACATAGTCAGACGATGGGTTCAGGGTGTCTGGTATGACTGCATATACTCCCCTGGAGAATATCTTGTCCTTACATTTGTTTCTATATTTCTGCGTAGCTCAGGAATGAAGCGTGTGCTCAGACATGTTTCATTTTTGTACTTGCCTGTGTGCATGTGGAAAGGTTTACTTGGCTGATTCTATCAAGGTTTAGGTATCCATTAGCCAGTTGTGCTGTTAATGGTGTGTGCAGAGCCAAAGGACAGATGCTCAAGCACATGCTAAGGAGACTATGAAAAAACTATGACCCAGGGACTGACCCAAGAGGAACTCTTACCTCATTCCAGAAGCTTCATCCAGTTCGCATGTGAATGGAAAACTTAGAATAATAATATTATTTATCTAATGCAATTTATATCAGGAGTGGTGAACGTGTGACACATAGGGGGTTGATGGACTACGATGCCCATCAGCTCTAGCCAGTACAAGGGATGAAGGAAGTTGCACTCCAACAATGGCTGGCTGGGGGTGGGGGCTGCACTTTTGTCAGCCCAATGGACGTGCTGCTTTAAATGAACAGGTACAAGATATACTTGCCTCAAAAGGCTTAAAATCTAAGCTAGGCACAAGCATACAGCAGAGGCTGGGGAGAATGGCAGCCTGACTAAGCAGGGATCAAATACGAAAGCAAAAAATAAACAGGACATTTTTCCACTGTATGTCTACCCTTGAAAAATGTAAGCTATGTTAAGTCATCTTTGCCTAGTAACTGCAAAGCAAGACCAACCACATCAAAAGTGTTTTAACTTTTATAAATGTTAATAAAATTAATCAAGCTGGCAGGATTGTTGTGAGGACTGGCTAATACTTTTTTTGAAAATAGGAAATAGTAAACTGCTATGCAAATCTGAAAGACAAGCTTGTAAATTCTGTCCCTTTTACCACATTGTAATTGTTTCCTCAAATGGGCAATAGTTGAATTACTGAAAACCCATTTCTAGAACTGCAAGATGCTGAGAATGATTGGAGGTGTCACATAGATTGGAAAAACACATGAAAAAGTGTACTCTGTATGTGTTAGTGGTAAAAAACTAGATGTTCTGTTCTGGTAGGTTTTCATTTATTCCTCCTCATTGAATAACAAATGCCTAACCATTTTCCAGTGCTGGTGCCAGGAGAAACTAAGCTGGCCACTGCTGGGATTCCACCAAAAGCACTTGTGCTGAGTTCATGTTTGATCTTCCAAACATCAGCCGTGATGTCCAGACACTCTTTCCATGAGCGTCCACCCCAAAGGCAGCACCTCCTCCATTGGGGCATTGTAATACCGTATTGAAGAGGAGAGAGTGATAGCAAATGTTTTCCCAGGTCACAGAGTGCTTCCCCATTCTGACAATATAAGATATGTGTACCTACTAACCCAGTTACATTGCTATAGGCTGCATGATCATGAAGAATGTGAAATCATGAAGAATTGTAAAATCAGGTCATCTAAAAGCTACTCAATGGATTGGGGAGGGACTGCAGCTCAAAAGCAGAGTGCCTATGCAGAGGGGCCCACGTTCTGCCTGTGGAACCATTTGTTAAAAAGTCACATGCTGGGAAAGATACTTTGCCTGTGACCCTGGACAGTCACTGCCAGGCTGGTGGGCAATACCGGTCCAGATTGCCTGGATCTAAGGCAGCTTCTTATGTTGTGAGACCCAGGTAATGTACGCGGTGTATTCATGTATGCAGATAATGTTTCTCATGACAAAGGTTATCATGAGCACCCTTTGACCCTGGTTTCTAAACATGTTCATAGCATTTTCCTGTAGAAGCCCTTTTGAGGATTTGAGTATAAAGGGAGTTTGCCATTTTGGAAACAGTTGCTGGCTGTGGCAAGGAAAAAAGCATCCGTAATATTTTCATTCACCCATCACACTGCTTCAAAAAACTGAAGGGTGTCCACTCTTTTTTCTGGATTGATGAACCTTTGCTCTCATAAATTTGTTCAGTATAAAATCTGAACTAGTTTCAGTGGCAAATTAAGGGTGCAATCCTATGCATGTTTAGACAGATAAAAATCCTACAGCTGGCTGGGGAATGCTGGGAGTTTTTAAATACCTAGACAAACATAGGCTTGTATCCTAAGCAGCTCAAGTGTGTATCTCTGTTAGTGATCCTTTCAGAACCTTGTATGTGATTCTGTGCCAGGGCAGAGCTGGTGCCTAAAATGGCAGCGCCTGCTGAGGAAAGCTCAAAGGGATGAATCATTGGTAAGCTCAACCAAACTGAGATGGATGGAGTTTAGGGAATCAGAAATGGTGCACAGACTGCATCTAGCTACTCGGGCTGCAATCCTACACACCAGCTTTCCCCATGTGTTGGACTTTTTCCCAGCATGTTGGACTACAACCCTCATAATCTCCATAGCTCTGTTGATGGGAGTTGCAGTCCAACATATCTGAAGCATGGTGGGTTGGGGAAAGCTGCTATGAACACAGACCTAGAAATAGCACCACTGGGCTCAATGTATTATCCTGAAAGCACAAATATTTTTAAAGACCTTCACAATGGTTTTGGCTGTGAGCCCTGTTCTGTGGAGACAGATGTTCCAGTGTGGAGCAAAAGATCTCCAGAGTGATAGGTCCTTGTCCATAGATGATGGGGAAAAATGGGTCTCATTTGAAAGCTTGTGTCTCAGAGCTTATCCATTCTTACTTTGCGCATCTCCTTTCCCAACATTAGGTGGGAGTATTTTTCCACAGCTAGAACATTTCGTTGCTCTAGTGAAAGGCTGTTTAATCCCTTTGGCTTGAAGTATCAGTGACTGAGCATTCCAACAGGTCAGTAATTAAAATCAAAATACAATAAAACAATCTATAACAATATAATAAATAACATATAACCAATAAAAATAAATAAAATAAAAAGCAACTGTTAAACATTAAAATACTAATTTTTAAAATAGCAATTAAATAAAAAGGTTTTGACCTGGTGCCAAAAAGAGTATAAGCTCGGCACCAAGCAAACCTTTCTGGGGAGCGCATTCCACAGTCTGGGCGCCACCACAGAGAAGGCCCTACTCTGAGTAGATGTCCTTTTTACCTCCTTCAGGGAGGGTTCCCAGAACAGGGCCTCTCCTGCAGATCTTAAGGGGCATGAGGGCATATAAGAAAGAGATGTTCTTTCAGATATCCTGGTCCCAAGCCGTTTAGGGCTTTATAAGTCAAAACCAGCACCTTGACTTGGGCCCGGACTTCAACTGAAAGCCAGTGGAGCTGGTAAAGGACTGGTGTTATAAGAGAATAATGACCAGCCCCCCTCAGCATCCTGGCCGCTCTATTCTGTAACAGCTGAAGTTTAAACATACCACTGGATGTTTAAAAATGGTCAAGTCTCTAATTTTGCAAATTAAAGCAATTCTCCTGCATCTGTTTAGTTGGCATTGCTTGTTCTGCTTTTGACAATAATAGAGAGATATGCCCTCTGACCTCTGATTGCCTTCCTAGTCTTCTCCCCCACTTTATTTTCAAACCTGTTTTTACATACATAAGGACTGCGACCTTGTATTCTTTTTAAAAAGCCAAAAGTCTTAAGGAGCAAAATTCTGTGCTTAGTACTAAAATGTTTATTTTAACAATATTTTTATATATTTTATACATACGTATATCTCACTCTTACATGGGGCTTCCAAGGAAGAGGGCTGGTTAGAGTGGCTTTGCTTCAGACATGCAACTGCCAGAGAGGCCTGGTGGTGCCAGTGTCAGCAGGGCAGTGTATCCACTCTGCATTTCAGTCTGAACATGTAATAAGGAGCTATCCATGGTGCTGAGTTCTATCCCTTAGAATTAGCCTGGCATGACAGCCTGGAGGGGATACACTGACCCACTGACACTGGAGCCAGCAACCTTCATGGCACAGCTCCCTATTCAGCACTTGCCACAGGTGCAGGAGTTCAAATATGAGAAGCATCCCCTTCTCTGTACAGCTCTGCTGCAAAGACACTTAGCATGCTGCACCTGCTCCTTGCAGGCATAAGGTGTGCAGGATCTTAGCGCTGGGTCCACAGCTGCTGCCTTTTGTTTCCCAATAGGCCTTCAGTGATTCTCAAGATGGCCAAGGTCCTTTCCCCGTGACCAGCAACTGTGTGGGGGTTCCTCCCCTTCTCTGCTGTTTCTCTCCACCTAAACAGCCTCGAAGGCTTAGCTTCTGGCACTACAGGTGCAATCCAGTTGAAGTCCGAGCCCAATTCAAGGTGCTGGTTTTGGCCTATAAAGCCCTAAATGGCTTAGAACCAGGATACCTGAAGGAATGTCTCCTTCCTTATATGCACTCACTTCCTTTAAGATCTGTGGGAGAAGCCCTGCTCCAGGAACCTTAATTCTTAAATGCCATTTTAAGAAACAGAGTTTTTAGATTTTTAAACTTAACAGTCATATTTTATTTTATTTTATTTACTTTATTATTTTATCCATTGTTATTTATTTATTTCATGATTGTGATTTATTCTTTTTTGTTTATTATTGGTTTAATGTTATTCTGATC